GGGGAAAAAAAAAACAAAAAAAAAAACTGGCTGGAGTCTTCAAGTATCAGGACAGTCACCGGAAGACTAGGGCACCAAAGACTGAAAGACCCTGGGAGACACGACGCCATGGCCAGGTCTCCTGCTATAAAGGACATTAGTGAGACAACTGGTCAAATCTGGGTAACATGTGTGGATTAGATAACAGTACTTTATCATTGTTGGTTTCCTAAATTTGGTAGCTGTATGTGGTAATGTAAGAAAATGACCCTATTTTAAAGAAAATGCACGCTGAAATTTTTAGGGGAGAGGGATACATCATGTTTGCACTTCAGAACCGTTCAGAAAACAGAAGTATTTATGCATATAAAAACAGTTGTGTATAGAGAAATGATAAAGCAAAGCAGTTGTGGTGAAATGTTAATATTTGGGGGAATACACGCGAAAGGTCCTTGGGAATTTGTTATGCAATTCTTTGTACAACTTTGCAACTTTTCTGTCTGTCTGAACTATTTCCAGATAAAAATTTTAAAAATTGAGAATAAATGCTATTATTATCATGGTATCCAATTTACAGATTTAGAAACTGAGGAGTGGAGACAGGAAGGGACTGGCCCAAGGTCACACAGCTGATAAATGCTGGGGCTGGGGGCTGGACTCAGCCCCTCTCCCCCAGACCACCGGCTCCAGAAATGGCTCCCTCCGGGGGGGTGTCCTTTGTGCACTATGGATAAGGTCCTCCTGGTGAGAGTTCCTGACCAAAAGTCCACGGACTCTGCTCCCTCTTGCCCTGCGACCTCAGATGAGTCCCGTGCCACTCAGAGGCAGAGTCTCACCTTCCAGCATCCGCAACTGCCTCTCCCGCTGCAGCTCCTGAGGGTTAAGTGAGGTGTTGCAGGCTGACAGCAGGTAGAGGTAGGCGCTGTCCCCATTCCGCCGCACCCCATGGGAGTGCAGGGTTTCCTGGTCCCGGGCCAGCCGCTGCCCAATGACCCACTGCTGTAGGACGGGTGGAAAGCCGTAGTCCAGGAATACCTGGCGGGGACATGGAGAGAGGGAGAGGGGAAAGGGAGGACCAGAGTAAAGAGAAGTGGACATAAAATGGGAAGCGTCTGCCCTGATGTTTCCCTTTCCTGTACCCCCTCCACTTCCGCCTGCACCCCCCCTCCCCCCAACTCACCATGTCCTTGAGGGAAGCCACTGTCATGTCCGGACGCACTGTGAGCCAGATGGTGACTGTGTGCATCTGAGCATCCTCCACACTCACCCACAGCCTGCGGAGAAGGTCACAGGTCCAACCTCAGCCACCAGCTGCTGGCACGTACCTGACTGCACGCTTGTGCACGCAGCTGCACGTGTACATATACACGCGCACGCGCCCACAGACGCCCAGTCTGGGTTAGGGGGCCTTTCCTGGATTCCCGCAGCCCTGTGCTTCCTCCTGAATCAGAACCCGCTGCTTAAACCCCTGCGGTGGCTCCACGCTCTTCTGAGAATCCAATCCGGACTCACTGCGGCACGAGGGCCTCCGTGATCCGGGCCCCTCCCTACTCTCCAGCCTCCTGTCATTCCCTCCTCTGCTCTTTAGCCAAACCACCAATCGTTGTTATTTACTATATGCCACGATGCTTCAAAGCACTTAATATGTTTCTTTTTTAAATTTTTTTAAACATTTATTTATTATTGAGAGACAGAGCATGAGCAGGGGAGGGGCAGAGAAAGGAGGAGACACAGAATCAGAAGCAGGCTCCGGGCTCTGAGCTGTCAGCACAGAACCCGATGGGGGGCTTGAACGCACAAACCGCGAGATCGTAACCTGAGTCCAAGTCGGACGCTTAACCGACTGAGCCACCCAGGTGCCCCAGCACTTAGTATGTTTTAGCCCGTTTAATCCTCTCCACAAACCCAGGAGGCAGATACTGTTGTCACTGCTGTTTTACAGATAAAAACACGAGGCACGGACAGGTTACGCTGAGGCTACCAAGTAACACTGAGACTGTGAGAGGCAGGACTTCAACCCAGTGTTATTCCAGAGAAACACCAGCTTTCTCAAGGAAGGACCCTTCAACATTTCTGGAAGATCAAAAGCACGAAAGGGAAGGGCTACGATGAAAAAAACCAGAACTGGATCCCAAAGGACACAGACACATCAGAGCACAGAACAAGAACAGCAAGAAATAATCAGTAAATGAGGGCGAGTTCCTGGAAATGTACAAAGTGACTCCAGACTAACCTAACCTTTAGATCCAACTACAAGTTCACAAGAAAAACTGGAGATACTTAAATGACACCCTGAGGTGGCAGTTAATAAATCCAGCATGTGGGGGAATCCTGGAGGTCCAAGACGAAGGTTCTTAAATTAATGGCATAAAAATAAAGAGGAGGAATTAAAAAGACAAGATTAAGAAAGGATACATGTCGGGGCGCCTGGGTGGCTCAGTCGGTTGAGCGTCCAACTCCGGCTCAGGTCATGGTCTCGCAGTTCATGAGTTCGAGCCCCGCATCGGGCTCTGTGCTAACAAACAGCTCAGAGCCTGGAGCCTGCTTTGGATTCTGTGTCTCCCTCTGTCTCTCCCCCTCCCCTGCTCATGCTCTGTCTCTCAAAAATAAAGAAATGTTTAAAAAAAAAAAAAAAAGAAAGAAAGAAAGGACCCGTGTAGATCTTCTCTGGCTCCTAATTGGAATAACCCAACTATAAAAACTGTCAATGAGATAATCAGGGAAATTATACCATAAACTGTGTTAGGGGATTTTAAGGGATTATTCTTAATTTTTTAGATGTGATAATGGTATTGAGGTTAATAAGCAAGTCACAGGGAGGTAATGTACAGGCATGGTGACTATCGTTAACATTTCTGCCTCATGTATCTGAATACTGCAGGCAATAAATCCTAAAAGCTCTCATTGCAAAAAAAAAAAAATAATAAGGGCGGCTGGCTGGCTCCATTGGTAGAGCATGTGACTCTCGATCCCAGGGTGGTGAGTTCAAACCCCATGTGGGGTACAGAGAATACTTAAAAAAATAATACGTAAGTATGTGAGGCAATGGATGTTAACTTGCTGTGTTCATCACTGCACAATTACATACATGTACCAAGTCATTATGTCGTGCATCTAAACTGGTTCCGAGACTCGATTTCCAACGTGTGGATGGGAAGAGGGAGGCTCCTGCAATTCTCAGGCACCAGCAGGGCGTCCTCCATTTCAACTCAATTCTGACCCGATCTACCCCGAAACAGCAGCAGTGTCCGCAGCTTGAGGGCTCAGTCCTACGAGACCGCCCCCTCTCAAATGGCAGTCCAAATGGCAGTCGTAAGCCAGTACTGAGTCATCGGATACAGAATCGGGAGTTCCAACAGCCCACTCCTGGGATTCCATTAATCTGCTAGAGCAGTTCACGGAACTCAAACATTTTCCTTACGAGACCACTGGTTTGTTATGGAAGGACATAATTCGGGGACAGCCCGATGGAAGAATCTGGAAGAGATGCACAGTGCGAGGCACACCATCCGGGAAAGGGTGGTAGCTTCCCTGCCCTCTGGAGTGCTCTAGCGTCCCCAGATCTCCACGTGTTCACCAACCCAGAAGCTCTGTTTTCAGTTTTTATGAAAATCTCATTACATAGGCGTGACTGATGAGACCACTGCCACTGGGGACTGATTCTACCTCCAGTCCCCATCCCCTCCCAGGAGGTCAGGGGGATGGGACTGAACACTCCAACCCTCTAATCACACTGGCTGGTTTCTCTGGTGAGCAGCGGCCCCCATCCTTAGGTGATCTAGGGAGGTTCCAAAGGTCACCTCATTTGCACAACAAAAGGCACCTTTACCATTCGAAAAACGTAAAGTTCCAAGGAGCTCTGTGCCAGGAAAGGACAAAGACCAAGAAAATATTCCTTATTATAATTCACAAGATCACAACACCTTAAACTAATACAATGTCCTGTGTCCATTACAGCTCGGTAAAACTCAAAAAGAAGATTGGGCACGAATGTTCACAGCATCATTATTCACGTTAGCCCCCAAGCGGGAAAACCCCAAATGTCCATCAAATGATTAACAGAGAAAATGTGGTATATTCGTACAATAGATTATCATCGAGCAACAGAAAGGAATAAAGTTCTGAAACACGCCACCACACGGATGAATCGAGAAAACAGGATGCTAAGTGAAAGAAGCCGGACACAAGAGGCCACATGCGGTATGATTCCATTTCTGCGAAATGTCCAGACCAGGCAAGTCCCTGGAGATAAAAGTAGATTCGCGGCTGCCTAAGGCTGAGGTTGGGGAAAGGGAGGGAGATGAGCAGAGACTACAAATAAAAGCACGGACCGGTGTCCTTTACAAGGCAATAGAAAGTTACTAGGCAGCAATGAAAAAGCAGGTTGGGGGGGAAGATAAGCACCACGATTCACTGAGTGAGTGACATGTGCCAGGCATTGTGCTAAGCATTCCGAGAGCAATTCAGTCTCCTGGGGAAAGATGACCCACCTCCCTTCTCCCTTGCCTCTACTTGCTAACAGAAACCCTGAGTTCTAGTTGGATGCCTGGTCGTGTTTCGCAGCCTCCCTTCAAGCCGAGCATGGCTGTGAGAATACCTTCTGGTCCACAGGAATTGATTGGAAGAAGTGTGTGCAACTCTCTGACCTGTGCCCTCAAGGGTGGGAGCGGGGGTCCCTCTTCCCTTCTGCAGAGGCCGCTTTTGGCCAACAGGCTTGAACGGCAACTTGAGTAAGACAGACAGAAGGGGCCACAGCGACCATCACCGCGCTGAATGCAAACAGGCTCATTAAGCGACCCACCTCGAAATATCCCTAAGCCCCCGCTGACAAAGGGGTCACTCACACCAGGCACAGTGGCCAAAAAAGGGGAAACTCCAAACGTCCCCATATTCTCTCATTCTCCCCTGTAGCTCTAGCCGCCCACAGACAGTCCCTGCTTTGCTGTCCTGCCCACCGCTCCCTGGTGGTGTCTTCAATAGAGTTCTCTTTTGTTCTGCACCTGCACAGCCAGCTTCTACCCAATTGGGCCGCCCCACATTTGGGGGCCCCCATCTGGCTGGGAGACACCACACCTTCCTCCCTATCGGCAAGAATGCTGATGGGATGGCCGGAGCTGGAACAGCCATTTTAGACCATGAAGCGAACTGCAGAATGGAGCCCATGAATGTCAGAGCAACAAGACAGAAGCCTGAGGCTCCGGGGACTTACAGGAAGCACAGCCCCCACATACAGACTGCCTGCCATCAAATTTATTTATGCCACCGTTACTATGTTTTTTCTGTTATATGAGGACTAACATTCTATATGTGTTGTTTTTTTTTTAATGTTTACTTATTTTTGGAAAAAGAGAGAGAGACAGAGCACGAGCAGGGGAAGGGCAGAGAGACAGGGAGACACAGAATACCCAGCAGGCTCCAGGCTCTGAGCTGTCAGCACAGAACCCAACACCGGGCTCGAACTCGCAAACCACGAGATCGTGACCTGAGCCGAAGTCGGACACTTAACCGACTGAGCCACCCGGGCGCCCCGAGGACTAACGTTCTAATACACCTTCTAACAATCCTATGAGATGGCTTACTATTATTGCCTCATTTTTAAAATCAAAAAACCTCTGAAAATTCTGAGAGGTGAAGTGACTTGCTATAGATCTCACAGTGGATGACAGACAGGGCTCGGGTTTGAAGCTAGGTCTCCTGACACCAGAACCTGCCATTAAGAATAACTGGCGAGAGGGGCGCCTGGGTGGCTCAGTCGGTTGAGCGTCCGACTTCGGCTCGGGTCATGATCTCGCGGTCCGTGAGTTCGAGCCCCGCGTCGGGCTCTGTGGTGACAGCTCGGAGCCTGGAGCCTGCTTCGGATACCGCGTCTCCGTCTCTCTCTGCCCCTCCCCCGCTCATGCTCTGTCTCTCAAAGATGAATAAACATTAAAAAAATTTTTTAAAGGAGAATAACCGGCAAGAATATACTGCGGCCCACTGGGTTCCAGGAAGCCCTAAGACTTAGGCCAGTCGTGCCCTCCTCACCTGATGTCCTGTGTTGGGGAGACCTCAGGCTTCAGTTGCACACTCAGGGGCACCCGTTGCTCTGCCAGCCAGATGGCACACTGCACTGCCACGTGTTCATCCCCGCCTGCCACTGCTCGGGTGAGTCTCAGGGCCATCTCCTCGGCTGAAATCCAGTACAATGGAAGCAGGTTAGCACACGGTTTATTTTCCAGGAGCTGGGGGAGAGGGAGGTGGTGGTCCCTTGCACCTACTGCTTCCTCTGTCTCCCTGGTGAACTCCTACATATCCTTCAGCACCCAGCTTAAAAATCCCTTTCTCTGATACTCCCCATTCCCCCTCCCTGTTCATGTAGTTCTATTTGTCCTTCAGCCTCCCAGGCCCCCAAACTTCCATTCATTTATGTGACAAGGATTTACTGAGCTCCTACTGTGTACCAGCCGCTGTCCCAGAAACTGGGATTCGGCAGTGAATAAGATAAACGGGTCCCTGTGCTGACAGACCTCCCGGCCCAGCAAGGAGATAGACAGCAGAAAAAAATTCAGGTTGTGATCCACGCTGGCAAGGAAATAAACAGCATAAGGAGATCAGGGAAGGCCTCTAGGAGGAGGGGACACTGAAGCTGAGACCAGGAGAAGCTAGATGTGTCCAAACCCAGTTAGGGAAGAGTATTCCAGGTGGAGAGAAAGGTCAGGGCAAAGGTCTTGAGCCAGAAATGATTGGATGGGAACAGAAAGAAGCCAGTGGGGCTCCATCAGAATGAACAAGGGGGTGAATGGGGTAAGACTGTGAGGTCAGTGAAGCCAGAAGGGAACTGTGGGCTAACCGAGGGCTCTGGCCTAAGAACACAGAGGGACACGGGGTGGGTTTTGAGCAGGGTGATGACATGATCTGACATGTTCTACAGTGCTAGGTGGAGGGGGCAAGAGGGGGCGCAAGGAACCCCGGTATTTAGGTCAACTGAGATCTGTCTCCTGCACCAGCCTGAGAGATCTCCTGTGTTCTCTGGGAGCTCTCCACCCCCATCACAACACAGTGCTGGCTCGTGGTGGCCTCAGGGACACGCCATAGTTGAAGGACCAGCCCCTAGAAGCAACCAGGCCCCAAAGAAGGAAACTGAGGGGCAGGTGGATAGAGGGAGGGTGCGGTTAAAGCCACCTCTCCCACCCTTCAGGGCAGGGGAGGCCAGGTCCTGCCGGGGCCCACCGCCTAAAGGAAGTTTCCCAGCCGCTTCCAGGCTGTGCCCACCTTTCTTGGTCTTCTCGTCCATCTGGCGTGGTTGCGCCCATGCCCCCAGGCGGGGGCAGCAGCTCCGGAGAAATGCTATCCCTGGGTCACCTGGGAGAGGGCGGATGACCACAAGTAATTCAGTCCCGGCCGGTGGCCTCCGGCCCGGCCCGAACCCTCTTTATGCCTTGGTGTCCCCGGATGGAATCAGGTAACATCACAAGCACCGGAGACCGGGTATGGGAACGGGCTGGGACCCTGCGTGGGAGGTGAAAGGGCAAAGGGCACCGAGCCAAGCCCACAATGGGCGACAGAGGAAGCGGGACAGACCTGGTGCAGGGATGAGGGTGACGCCGCACAGCCGGGCGCTGTTAGTCCCTGGGGAGGGCCCTCCCCCCAACTTCTCGCTTCTGGGAACACCCCTGGCGCCGGGGATTGCAGCCACACTCCCTCCTCTGCGGGGCGGCCCCAGACAGTCGGGAGGGGAGGGGAGCAGCTACAGCGAAAGGGAAAGTGAAAGTGGAGGCCCCGGAAGTGGGGCAGCAGACTGTCGGGACATCCGGACACCCTCCCCCCCAACCGCCCCGCACACCCGGCGGCGACTGGCACCTACGCAGTCCCCGGCGGCGCCCGCCCTGCGCCGGGGTCGCGGTGGTCCGGGGTGCTCAAGGACCTTGACCGGGGTGACCCCTGTTGGGCTGATCCGGGACTCCCCGACCCTCACTCACCCGGCAGGCCGCGCCAGCACGGCCGCGGGAAGGGGCGGGGGACGGGTCTGGAGGGGAGGGGCGGGGCAGTGGCCGCCGGGGGCGGGGATTGGACGGGATGGGGGCGGGGCTCATCCCTGCATACTCACCGGCACCCGGGAGGGTCAGCCCCATCCTCAGCTCCGTTTGCGAAACACAAACCGAGGCTCTATCCCCATTAGGCTCCTTGCTTCTCCTTTTGGCCCCAACAGGGCCCCAGCCCGCTGCCAGACAGTCCCTAGAGTGTAAATCAAACCGCGTCACTCCTCAAAACACTCCCGGTTCTTCCCAACACTCTCCTAGCAAAGTAAAAGCCGAGATCCTCTCCACAGCTGCAAACTGCCTCCCCTCCTCTTACTACTTTAAGCCTAAAAAATAAAATAGCCAGTTATTTTCCAAAAAAAAAAAAAAAGGGGGGGCGGTTTATTCAGGAATAGCCAAGAGTTGCAATTTGGGACATTCAAGCTGTGAAAAACCATGGGCAAATCTAACAACGCATAGAAACATTACTGAGATGGAGGGAATTGGGAGGCATGTTTTGAGCCAAAGTCCATTGGAGAAAAGCAAGAGTTCAGGGTGATGACACTTTCTCATTGGCTGAGTTACAGAGGTAGTGAATTTCTTGTAGGAGATCCAATGCACCTCTTTTCCCTGTTGGGCTTGTAGTTGAGTCTTTCCTGTTGAGGACTCTGTTGGGGTATGTAATTGACAATTCTTCCCGTAATAGACCTCCGCAGTGGTACCTGTCAGAGCTCCCCTTCCTGGATTCCCCACTCCATTTCCGGGAGGAATGTTCAACCCATGGCTCACCCCACTCAAATCCACCGGCCTCCTAGGTCCTGGAATAAGGCAGACACACTCCACCTCTGGATCTTTGCATGTGCCATAACCCCAGTATCGTCATGGCTTGCTCTCTCCCTTTAGTTTAGTCGTTACCCAAAACTCTTCCCTGTTCACTCTATCTGAAATTTCATACACCCACATACATCCAGCATTTAATTTTTTTAATGTTTATTTCCTGAGAGAGACAGACAGAAAGATAGAGTGTGAGCGGGGAGGAGCAGAGAGAGAGGAAGACACAGAATCCGAAGCAGGTTCCAGAATCCGAATCTGAGTTGTCAGCACAGAGCCCAATGTGGGGCTCAAACCCACCAGCCACAAGATTGTGACCTGAGTCGAAGCTGGACACTTAACCGACTGAGCCACCCAGATTCCCCTTTCCAGCATTTTATATCCTCCTTCCTGGCTTCATTTTTTTTTTTTTTTTTTTTTTCTAAAGCATATACTACTGGGGTGCCTGGGTGCCTCACTTGGTTGAGTGGCTGACTCTTGATTTCGCTTAACCAACTGAGCCACCCAGGTGCCCCTGATCTGTGTCTGGTAATATTGCCATCTGAACTCTGAGTGTCTGTTTCTGCTGATTTTCACTTCTGTTGCCTTGTTTTCCTCTGGTGACCATTGCTGGTTTTTGACAGTCGTGGTCCCTTCAGCCCTGAGGTTACCTGCACAAATGTGTATTGAGGGCAGATATTTTCTTTCAGGTGTTCTTGTCCTACCCTTGGGCCTTCAAGGGCAGAGCTGGCAGTCACTTTGGACATCCTTCAGCCCCGTGGGGAGACTCTTTGATCATTCAAAACTGGGTTCAGCCCCGCTGTTCATGATGTACGTGACCCTGGACAAGATTCCCCCTCTCTGGGCCTTAGCTTCCTCCTCTGTACAATGGTGATCACGATGGTCCCTCCTTCGTAAGGCTCTTTTGACGATCTGTCTCAGTTCCTGGTTATTGATGTCTAACAAGTTACCCCAAAATTTAGGGGCTCAGAACAACAACAAACATGTAGATCTCACACAGTTTCCGGGGTTTAAGAATTCAGGAGCTTCTTAGGTGGTTTTGGTGCAAAGTCTCTCAGCGGTTTTAGTGAAGATGTTAGCTGAGGCTTCAGTCATCTGAAGGCTTGACCAGGGTGGAAGATCAGCCTTCGAGAAAGCTACTCCTATACCTGGTTGGCGCTGCTTTGCGGGATGTCTAAATTCCTTGCCACCTGTGCCTCCCGGAAGGGCTACTTGAGTGTCCTTGAAACATGGCTGCTGGCTTTCCCAAGAGCAGATGATCCTGGAGAGCAAGGCAGGAGCCATGGTATGTTTTATGGCCCAGCCTCCCTCCTTCAGACGGACAGTGGTCCCCACGACCGGGGAGGGCAGAGTGACCCCTGTGCGGGACTGAGGCATTGCCGCAACCCTGGGCCACGAGTTCCGGGATCTGACACGGGTGCAGCACGTGACCACCTACAGCCTTGTTGCCCTGCGAGCACCGCCTTCCCGCACCACTTCTGCAAGGCCATCCCCAGCATGCGGTGCCACACTCGGGCATGCATCCTGGATGTCGTGCCGCCATTTGTAGCGTTTTATCCTGTCTACACACGGGGGACCCAGGAGTTTGTGAAAGCCAAGCGGAAGAATCCGGCTGCTTATGAGAATGACAAACGAGCCACTCATCTGGGTGATGGCTCCCTGGGCCGGAAAGATCCTTCTCTGGGAGAAGAGCCTACATTGTAGTGTCTTGAAGACATAATACACTTCTTGTGGGAAGCAAAAAAAAAAAAAAAAAAAAAAAAAAAAGAAAGAAAAAGAAAAAAGCCATATTCCTTCATTTTCATAATATCCTATTTGTTACACCTATCGACCCGGCTCAGGATGGGAGGGAACTACACAAAGGCAAGGATTCCATGTGTCAAGGATCATAGGAGGCCATCTTGGAGGCCAGCCATCACATGTCAAATGAGATAATGCGGGTAAAGCGCTTAGAACCATGCCTGACACGTGATGTGACCTCAGTAAACACTAACCATCCCTAACAAGTGCCCTGCTTTGTTCGGGGCATATAGCAACCGCTTTCATTTAGTCATTCAACAAACATTTATTGAGCAGCTCCGTGCACCAGGCACTGTTCTAGGAGCCGGGGAGACTGCGGTGAACAAAACATAGCCCCTGGCCTCATGAAAGTCCCATAGAGTGTCCTGCCATGTGGGGCTAAGTGCTATGACGACTGGCCTCACAGGCAGGTGGGACTTCGACCCATTTTATACCTGGGCCCGGGGTCAAACAAGCTCTGCAAGGAGCCGAAATGAGCTCTGAGTCCCCAAGGAGTTCAGGATTTCACCAAACACAGAGGTTCTCCAAATTGGCTGCTCAGTCGCATCGCCCCGGGGAGCTTGTTAAGGCGCACACCCGAGGCAGTCTGACTCACAGGTCAGGAGAGAGTTTGGGGATCTGCCTTGTAAACAAGCACCCCAGGGGACCGATGCAGGCGACTGACCCACCACCTCTGAGACTGTTCTGCGTGAGTCAGTGATGCAGGGCAGGGCCAGTCCTGCTCCAAGGAGGGTCCAGCCTCCAAGGAGGGGCAGGGCTTAGCCACACAGAGAGGAGGGGAACAGGCTGGAGCCCAGAGACACGGAGCAATTTGTCCAGGGACACACAGCCTGCAGAGGCAGTTTGAAGCACACGGCGGTCGGCTTAGTTAGTTGATCAAGTATATCCCGTGTTGTGTATTTAAATCAATCCATCAATCAATAGCCATAAATTCTTTTCAGGGACTCCCAGCAAGAGGGAGAATCTATTTTCCCACCTCCCGAATCTGGCTTCGGGGCACGCTTTGGCCAATGGGACATTTGCTGATGCGACACAAGCACAAGCACCTTGGCCCCTGCCCTCTCTTGTTTTTTGAAACCCAAGAGCAAGACAGGAGGGGGCCCGGGGCTAAGCCTGTTGGAGGCTGAGACTTCCTGGAGCAGAGGTGACCCACCCAGGTGGGCGTCCCTACAGCCTGCTGACTGACAGACAACGGGGCTGTGAGTGAGCCTGGGCACCCCTCTAAGCAGCAGCTGCCTGGGGAGCCTGGGTGGCTCAGTTGGTTACGTGTTCGGCTCAGGTCATGATCTCATTGTGAGATCGAACCCCATGTCAGGCTGCGCTGAGCATGAGCCTGCTTGGGATTCTCTCTCTGCCCCTCCCCTGCTCTCTCTCTCTCTCTCTCTCAAAATAAAATAAATGTCTGTTTGTTTTTTAAAAACATTGGCGGCCTGCCACAGTGCGAGTGAGCCAGCTGAGCCCAGCCCAAACTGCTGAGCCAGAGAATCAGGGACCA